GAAACAGGAGAGATGAAAGTGCCTCAAATTTTTTGAGTCGTCAGAAGACTCGCTGGCTGGCCGGCGCGGTGCTCCTCGGCCTACCACTGATCGAGGTCGTCACCTGCAGTCGTACTTCAGCCAGCTAGTTTTCGTGCTGTCCAACTTTCACGTCGATGTTTTGTTTCAGAATTATGTGACAACATTGTGGAGTCCATTGACGACATGTTTTTGTATTGACTTTGTCTTTCACTTGATTCACTGACCATGACAATAGAATCAGGGTATATATCTGGTTTAAGTGTCGATAACTCTTTTACTTTTTACGTCCTTAAAATTACACATAAGGTTGCACGAGGCAGCGCCAAGCTGGTTTTCCTCACAATCATCATTGGGGTGACATTTTCAGCATTTCGAAATGTTCACTTATGACCATGAATCAGAGAGTTACAAGACTTGCTTAAGTGCCTGCTGCGGCAGATGAATTATAGTTGTAGGAATTTGTTCTATGATTCACAATATAGTTTAACAGTATTTACTGCGCTACTATGTTATGTGCAATACTTTGTGTACTACAGTATATTATTTTAATGTACAATGTGATGCGATAAAAATTATATACATAATAGTTTATGAAATGCTACCGAACTATTGACCACATTATACATAATGTAGCGTACTGATGTGCCGAATACTACCATGGTTTAGGTGTATGTGTTTGAGCTGGATTCCAGTTACAGACTGCAGTTATATGGAAAAGGAGGGTCGTACCATTGTATCTACATGAGCTTATTTCTTTGGCGGGGGACATGCACTACTGTTAACAACGCCACCTACTGCAGCCATGCGCCGACACAGACAGACAGTTGCTTTGTAACTGAATTCGGTAACGATGGCCATGTCCTTTTTTGAAAATGTCTTACTTTACGCTTAACTTTCTCGAGATGTGAACGAACAACCATCGGTAGGTGGTTGCATGACGAAACTCACATTCTGAGACAAGGTTAGCTAGTTGAGCAAGTCATTATCCTTACCTTCTCGTTCCTCTGGAACGATACTCCTACGTCGACTTATTAGTCGTGTACCAGTTCTGATGTGGGCGACATGTAGACATGAGTGGCACGTTGGTATTCGGTTGAATCGGTGGCGATTTTACGCCCTCGTTTCGACCGAACAATAAATTCGCTGAACTAGCCTCTCTGGTCTTGGTCATGGACTGTCAGATTTCCGATCGATGATCTTTCGCATTCGACGGAGTTCCGACCTTCCCATGTTGCGACGATCAACAATCGATGTCCCATTTCGAATGTGCTATTTGTGC